GATAAGAGGTCAGATATTTTGTATGAGATATTTGAGTGCTTGTTTAGGTTGATGAAGACTTATTCAGAGGTTAGACTTATGTGGGTTCCAGCTCACAGTGGAGTAGAGGGTAATGAAATAGCTGATTATTATGCAAAGCAGGCAACGAAACTGGACACTATGATGGAGGTTCCATACAGTGTTGCAGAGGTGAAATCGTTGGTTACGTATTGTAACCCCAGATTCTATGAGTCTAGTCGCAGCCCTTAAGCGAGCTGCTATTGGAAGGGTGATCTCAGCATCAGCCAATCATGAAGAGCTTAAATGTACGCCCACCACGTGGGCACCCCTTGTGGGTTATATAAGTGGAGCGACTCCACTGCTCGCCTCCGATGGCTCTTAGTCCTAACAGAACCAGTGGGGCCACGTGGCTTAAGGGCTGCGACTAGACTCATTGAATCTGGGGTTACAATACGTAACCAACGTTCTATTTCGTCTAGTCTTAGCCCTTAAGCGAGCTGCTATTGGAATAAAGCGCAGCTGGATGGGTTTACGCCACACTGGTTAGCTCAACCAATGGACACACCCAACATGTCTCCTTTTAGTGGGGGTCGCTCAGCCTCAGCCCAGGGCTTAAAAGGCTGAGGCAGCCAGAGAGAAGAGTGGGGCCACCACTAAAAAATATCATCCACAAGAGGATGAAATTCATTCAAGCAGGGCTGATGAGGTGCCATAATGCGTTCACTCAGCCTGCTGAGGTCCAAGCACTGAACGAGTGATGGATCCTGAAGACACATCTCGTAAATAAGAACGAGTAAAGGAACAGGGTGAAGCCCATGAAGCAGCCTGACAAATGACTTCCATTGACACACCACTGTGGGGCGCCACAGAAGAGGAAATCCCTCTGGCTGAGTGAGCCCTGAGTGTCTCAGGAGGATCCAGCCCCAATGATGTGTAAGCGAGTGAAATGGCGTCACACAGCCAGCGTCAAAGGCGCTGGGCCAACAGCGCGTGCCCAAGGGAAGACTCCCTGTAGTGCACAAACAGGCTTTGTGAGCGGCGAATCCCTGAAGTGCGTGACACATATCGTGCGAGCGCGCGCACCGGGCAGAGAAGAGGGGAAGCCGCCTCCTCCTCAGAATTATGGGGAGGAGGAAAAAGTTCAGCCAATGAAATTGACCTGGATTTGAAGGAAGCATTAATGTTTTTCGGGCACAAAGGCTGGGTTGGGGCATAAAACAGCAGACCCGCCATCTGCCCGGATCCTGAGGCATGCGGGAGCCACTGAGAGGGCGGTTTGGTCGCTCACTCTCGTGACTGATGCCAATGCCAGCAGCAAGGCAGTTGTAAGTGACAGGAACTTGAGTGAGACCTGGTCCAAGGGCTCAAATGGGGCTTCAGATAAGCCACGCAGAACCACCGTTAGATCCCACTGGGGAAATAGCGGACGGGACACAGGTCTGTTCCTTCTGACACCTTTTAGAAAACGTTTTGTGAGGGGATGATCGAAAACAAACCTATCACCAAAACCCTGATGACAGGATGAGATAGCTGCAGCATATGTTTTAATAGTGCTGAATGCGAGCCCCCTGTCCGTCCGTAGCTGCAGAAACGATAGGACATCCGCCAGCTGGCAGGAGAGCGCTTGAACATTCCGCTCTGTGCCCCAGTTCTGGAAAGCTGCCCATTTAGCAGAGTAAGATGCAATGGTAGAGGGCGCCCGCGCACTCTGAATCGTGATGACCACATCATGCGGCAGCCCAGAAACCCCTAATCGAAACCGCTCATCGGCCAGACCCACAGCCGATGGCTTATTTCCGGAGGATGTCTGATTATCCCATCCGCCCGGGGAGGGGCGTCCTCCCTTCGCGGGAGTCTCCACGGGGAGCCGGACAGTAGCGCTTGCTGGTCCGGAAGCCATGACGCGGACAAGCGTCTGGGAGCCACCAGAATTACCGAGAGCTGTTCTGACCGAACTCGGTCCAGGAGAAGGGGAATCAGAGGGACTGGTGGAAACGCATAAAGGAGCGTTCGAAGCCCGGGCTGGTGTGAGAAGGCGTCCGCTTCGAGCGAGGTTTGGTCCCGGAGACTCAGGGAAAACCACAGGCGACACTGAGCGTTTTCGCGAGCCGTGAACAGATCCACACGGTTCCCCGAACCTTATCCAAATGTTAAGCATCAGTCTAATGTGCTCTGTTATGCTCTGTTATGTTATGCATCTGTGTAAATTTGTAAATAAGAATGTGTGTGTATATACATATATGCTTTTATTCTGAAAAGTACCTGTAGAGGAAGTCAAACTTTGACCCCGTAAAGTGACCAATAAAAGGGAGCATTGGTGTTTAGTGGCTGCAATCAGTGTGTGCTACCACCAGTGAAGGCCCGTGAAACAGACGCTCTGTTTATAGATTTATTTCCTCCTTTTTAACCCTGGAGATTCATTTTGGAGTCTTGGACCAGCCGCTGGGTAAACGAAACTCTGCTAACAGGTTATGGGCCCAGAGCAGAGCCCAGAGCGATGCCCGGACCAGAATGAATTGTGAACCAGGAACGCTGAGCACCAAGCTGATCAGGACAGCTGGGAAAGCATCCTGCTAGCGTGTGAGGAGCACAGAACCGACCAACAGCAAGTCCGGTGAGTCGAGCGAGAGCTACGACGTGTGTCGGACACTATGAGTCGGAAGACAGCGGAAGCCAGTACCCGCTGGTCAAGACTGGTATTTGACGGAGACGAGGATAAATATGAACTGTGGGAAACAAAGTTTCTCGGACACCTCCGGCTACAAGGTTTGAAAGACATTATATTAAAGCCGAAAGACGACGATGATGAGGAATATGATTCAAAGAACGCAGAGGCATATGCCGAACTTATACAATTCCTGGATGATAAGAGCCTTTCACTGGTGATGAGAGACGCAGCTGACGACGGGCGGAAAGCTCTAATTATCTTGAGAGAACACTATGCCGGGAAGGGAAAACCCCGCATAATAAGCTTATATACAGAACTGACTGCATTACAGCAGAAGAGCGGCGAGAGTGTAACGGACTATGTTTTGAGAGCCGAGGCCGCTGTTGTGTCAGAACAGCATACCTGTCAGAGGAGCATACTTGCAGATAATGCGCATGTGCGCGCATGCGCATTACTCGACAACTCCAGTACATTCTACAGAGGCGTTGTTGTGTCAGAACAGCATACCTGTCAGAGGAGCATACTTGCAGATAATGCGCATGTGCGCGCATGCGCATTACTCGACAACTCCAGTACATTCTACAGAGGCGTCAGATGAGCATACGGACTAGAAAAGATCGGCGAAAAAGTTAAACTACGACTAAAATGTAAGTAATTCATTTATATTCTTTAATGTTAACACATTATTTGATATATTTTGTACTTTAGTCACAGTTTTCAGTGTGCAGTGCATTTTTTGACTGCCAATTTCTGCACGTAATTTAATCGCTGATGAAACAACTAAACTTTGATGCCTGAACGTCATGTAACGGCTATGAAACATATTAATAGTAACAAGAAGTAAAAAAAAAACAATACAAGACCAACAATTATACAGTCCGTGAGGAAATTAAAGTCAGCATTTTAAAGACGAAAGGGGCTATTTTAATAGATTCATATAATATGAACATGTTTCTAATTCCGTGTTCATCCTGAAAAAGTTTTGTTTTTGACTAGAAATATGATGAAATAACATGTCTGACTACTATGTTAGTGAGTTTTTTATACTTTTTTTCTGCTTGATTAAACTATTTTGCTACTTGTTTAACACTAGAAGTCCCAAAATTTTCAACATCCAAAAGACCCTTAGTCCACACAGATGACTCTGATAGCTCCAATTAGCATCCCTTCATTTGCAAATGTGGCCATTGCCAGAGGAATCAGCAGGGGGGAGGAGAGATGAATTCACACAAAAGTCACATGATGTTGTACCGCATTATCCAGGTCATTTAGCCAAATGTGAGAGGACTAGAAACATGAGACATGAAAACATAAGAGAATTTTTCACTGTTTTGGTAGAGATATGGCATTTTGCTGCTGTTCCATGGTGCTTCGCTAAACCATATAGAGGATTTTGCCAAATACACCTTGAATTTTGAGAATATCATCTCAGTTTCGAGAAATGAGCCAAACTAATTGAAAAAAAAAACTGTAAATCAACTTAAACTTGTTCAAATGTTGGAGATAAGTTAGTTCAAAATGACAGTGGCTGCTCCTGAGAGTGTCTGCCCATCCCCCAGCAGCATTTTTTGCAGGGCCATCCTGCAACAGCTACAGAAATTTGCATGCAGCCTTTAGTGCTGTGGAGGATAAATAGGTGACTGCTTCACCTATTTTGTTGACAAGAAACAAAATGCAAAGGAGGCTAACCACTCAACAGGCATTGGAACTGATCGTGAGCCAGGCCAACCCTTGTGACTCAGATGGAGAAGACAACCAGATTCGGACTCTGAGCTGTCTTCAGGTTAGATTTCTCAAACTACCTATTTTCATTTCCTTGCTATCTCTTTTTATTTAGAACCAAACAAAAAGTTAATTTAAAATTGTTTATCTTGCAGATGAGGAGACGACTCCACCAAAAAAAGAGAGCTCGGTTGGGGAGTGAGCTGACAGAGACCTCAAAAGATGGCACAGTGTGGTGTGAAAAACAAGTGGGGACATGTCTCCATATCACTCCAAAAGAACCTTACGCCACAGCTGGAGAGCCAATGGCTAAGGCCATTGTGGATGTGATGGACCAAATGGTGCGGGAGTACAGCGTGCGTGCAGGAACACAGAGATGGCCAGTCGCCGTGTTCTACAACATGATTGACATGGCAGCACTGAATGCACATGTGCTTTATCAGGCATGCATTGAGGTGCAGGAGAGACGGGTGGACTTCCTGGTTGAGCTTGCAAAAGAGTTGGGTGACGGTCATGTGAGTGAGAAGAAGGCACGCAAGGAGAAACTGCTTTTGCTAAAACCTTCCACACCCAGCCCTGGCAAAAGGGCAAAGTGTCAGGTCAACCATCGTTGCACAAACAATTGTGCAACTGTGAGATGTGCTGGCTGCTACAAATATACATGTGGCAAATGTACCAGAGTCATACCATGGCAGTGCCATGTATGTTCCGACAGTGCAGACTAATGCACTCACACGCACACACACACACACACACACACACACACATGCAGCGCCCCACTGCAGCTTAGTGTAAATATGTGTGAAATTGTTTTATTCCTTGTATTTTTTTGTATCATTTTTATGACAAAAATAAAAAGCATGGAAACTAATAAAAGTTGTTCTTTGTATTTTTCTCATGTTGAAATTTCAGTCCTCTTGACTTAGACACAAACGCTTCTGGTCTTTGCTCACAGCTGGACCTGGAAACCCTTATTTACAAAACAAAAGTGGCTGTTCATAACTCATTATACAATGTTAGCTAAAATCCTTCAGGTCACTCGACCCATCTCTGGGTTCCAAAGGTAGAAATGTTAAATGACCCTTCTCTGGGACTTCTAGTGTTAAAAATGCAGGAATGTGATTCAAAATTACAAACCAGGAAACAGAAAAATATCTAGACATAAACCAACACATAAAAAGATTTGTCTCTGTTAAAGTGAAACATGTTAAAAACCAAATTTCTTTTATGTATCTACCCATAAATCATAATTTTGTAAGGAAGCACACAGATAAGAATGGTATAAGTATGGAAATACCTCACAGACAGAGAGGAAAGCTCTACAAAGAGCCATAAAGTCTGCAGAGAGGATCATAGGAATAACACTTCCTTCCATGGACTATGTGCACATACAACACTGAATTCCAATGTGCAGGGACTGTTGATCCGTGTTCAAATGGCAAATAAATGTCTTAAGTCTTGAGATAAGAAACATTTTAGAAGTAAATTGTTTGAATGCTGCCTCGTCATATTTATAATAATTTACTTCCTCAACATGCGGTTGTTTTGAGTGTATATGAACATAATTGACTGTATAATTATTTTTTTTAAATCAGAAGTTTTAATTTTCAAATTACTTCCTTGTTTGCATTTTTTACAGTAAAATGGAAGGCAGATGGGATGAGATATTTAATCTCCTTACCAAGGGTTCCTATCCGCTGCACTACACCAAAGGACAAAGGCAAAGCCTAAGGAAATATGCCTCTAAATTCAGCATTCATGGTAAGTTGTTAAGATTTAAGCATACATCACATTTTCTGATAATACGCCATGTGACTAATGTGTAAATTCTTTCAATAAAGATGGGGGTCTATTCTTTGGACCCCTGCCTAGGCGAAAAGCCATTAAATCAAAAGAGGAGGCTTGGACCAACTTTAGGGAAATCCATTCTTCAAAAATGGGAGGACACAGTGGCATTGTGAAAACTCGCAAATCATTGTGTTCGAAATTTTATTGGCATGGTATGACTGCAGACATTGAGAAATGGGTATGTTCCCTCATTGTTAGCAATCTCTAATATACAATATTTATAAATTTCATAAAACAAAATACCTTTTCTAGCTGTCTGAATGTGACCATTGCCAAAGAGTTGGACCTCCACTGAAGGTAGTCGAAACACTGGATTGCATCAAGGTGACTGTCCATTGTAATTCTGTTGGTTTATTACTTCTATGTTACTTCTGTTCATAAACATTTAATCTATCACCAACAGGTATCTGGTGTGTGGGAGCTGGTCGGAATGGATCTGACAGGTCCGCTTCCCCAGACCCCTTCTGGCTACAAGTATATATTGACAGCCACAGATTATTTTTCTAAGTGGGTGGAGGCTTTCCCTCTGAAAACCAAGTCTGCAGAGGAAGTCTCCCAAAATTTATGCACGATTTTTTATCGGCATGGCTGTCCTCTGCGCATTCTTACAGACCAAGGGCGAGAGTTTGTGAATCAAGTAAGTTGTGTTTAATATAAATTTTTATTTGGCCTAAAAGTCAAATCTGTAAAATAACTAATTATAATGTGCCTCATTGTTTTTTTTTTAGATCAACAGCAAACTATGTGAGCTCCTTTCAATTGAGAGGAGTGTGACAGCAGCATATCACCCGCAGACTAATGGATTGGATGAAAAAACAAATGACAACATTAAACGGTGAGAAAACAATTACAGCAGTGTCTTGTTTTAACTTCTTTTGACAATTGCTTTGAAGCAAGGTGGTGAAACAAGGGCCCGGGCGGGATTTGATCCCCAGACTCCCGGGTGAGAGTCATGCGTGCTAACCAGTCAGCCAAAGGGACATCTGTTTGGCTGACTGGTTAGCACGCATGACTCTCACCCGGGAGTCTGGGGATCAAATCCCGCCCGGGCCCTTGTTTCACCACCTTGCCACAGCTTAACATGTCCTGTATTTGTACTTTGTAAAGTTAGGTCTCAGACTTCACTGAGTTAAAATAATTTGCATGTATTCATTCATCTATGGCTTTGTGACTAGAAAATGAGAATAAATATTCCAAAGATGTATTGAAATTCAAGTATTTCTTATTGAAGCATGAAACTCTTTTTTCTAGGGCCCTCAGAAAAGTTGTTAATGAAAGGCAGGATGATTGGGATCTGTATCTAGATGCCACTTTGTTTTCACTGAGGTCCAAAATGCACACCACAACAAAATTCTCACCATTCTACCTAATGTATGGAAGAGAGGCAAGGTTCCCATGTGAACTTCCTGTTGAAATGCCGGTAAGAGTCTGCCTGTCATGAGTTATGTTGGAATCTTCCTTTGTACTAACATGTTAATATACATGCTGATTTTGTAAATACTTGTAATCGTTTTCAGACATAGAATCTTTTGACAGTAATGTTTTTATAACAGTGTCTAAATGTGTAACATTTGTATTGCAAAAACATGATCTGTTTTTGCAATGTAGCTGTCATCTATTATCCTTCCAACGGAATACAGCGAATATGTAAATGAGCAAGAAAAAGTACAAAAGGACCGAGATGAGAAGGTAAAAGAAAATGTGGAAGTGGCTCAACAGAAAATGAAGGAAGCATATGCAAATAGGGCAAACAAAAAATACAAACATTTTACATTCAAAGAAGGGGATGAGGTGCTGTTGTACAATGTAAGAAAACGAAGTAGAAAAGGAGCCAGGATGGAGCGTGACTATTCTGGCCCATACACAATCCAGCAACTCTTGGGCAAGACTGCTATGCTGACAACTATGACAGGGAAACACTTGAAAACAAAGCACAGCATTACTCACCTAAAGCCCTACAAAAGAGGCAATGTGGGACACAAGGAAGCTGGGCCAGATGAACCACCAACAAAAATTCAAAAACTTGAATCAAGTGAGAATCAAGAGAGGGAGTCAGTTATTAAGTACGTGGGCAAAACACATCTGGTGGGGAAAACTCAAAATCAGCACTCCGACAAGGTGATTCCTCCCTTTTCCAAGTTGTCTCCCTCGCCCCCTCCCAAGACATCTCCCTCACCCCCTCTGAGCATGTCTCCCTCGCCCCCTCCTGAGACATCACCCTCACCCCCTTTAAACATGTCTCCCTCGTTCTCTCCCTGGAGGGTTCCTTCACCCCCTCCCGAGACATCTCCCTCACCCCCTCTGAGCATGTCTCCCTCGCCCCCTCCCAGGATGTCTCCCTCACACCCTTACACAATATCTCCCTCGCCCCCTCCTGAGCCATCACCCTCACCCCCTTCAAACATGTCTCCCTCGTTCTCTCCCTGGAGGGTTCCTTCACCCCCTCCCAAGACATCTCCCTCACCCCCGCTGAGCATGTCTCCCTCGCCCCCTCCCAGGATGTCTCCCTCACACCCTCACATAATATCTCCCTCGCCCCCTCCTGAGACATCACCCTCACCCCCTTCAAACATGTCTCCCTCGTTCTCTCCTTGGAGGGTTCCTTCACCCCCTCCCAAGACATCTCCCTCACCCCCGCTGAGCATGTCTCCCTCGCCCCCTCCCAGGATGTCTCCCTCACACTCTTACACAATATCTCCCTCGCCCCCTCCTGAGCCATCACCCTCACCCCCTTCAAACATGTCTCCCTCGTTCTCTCCCTGGAGGGTTCCTTCACCCCCTCCCAAGACATCTCCCTCACCCCCTCTGAGCATGTCTCCCTCGCCCCATTCCAAGACAACTCCCTCACCACCTCTTTGCACATCTCCCTCACCCCGTCCCAAGACTCCGCCCTCACTCCCTTTCAAGACATCTCCTTCGCCCCCTCCCATGATGTCCCAGAAAACATTGCAGCAGCAAGGTGCAGTAGTACCGCAAACCAAAAAAAGTTTTTGGCCCTGTTGGCCATTGGTTCAGACCGGTTGGTCAGTTATTTGCATGTTCGTTCACTGCATGTTTGTTTACTGCCTGCTACTGCTCATGTATTCACAAATTCCCATTGTTCCAGTAAACATTGCAGCAGCAAGGTGCAGTATTACCGCAAACCAAAAAAAGTTTTTGGCCCTGTTGGCCATTGGTTCAGACCGGTTGGTCAGTTATTTGCATGTTCGTTCACTGCATGTTTGTTTACTGCCTGCTACTGCTCACAAATTCCCTTTGTTCCTAAAAAATGTGTGTGTGAATGTATATATATATGTATGTATATATATATGTATGTATGTATATATATATATATATATATATATTTACCTTTTTTTTTTTTCTTTTTGCAGTACTTAAACTTTGGTCTTTGGAAGACTCTGGCCAAATAGAAGCCCTGGTTGGTCCATACAAACTGTATGATACATCTTTTCGTACACTATGTGGACATGGGTGGCTGTCAGATGAAGTAAGACTACTTTCTCTTGGAAATACACATTTTTCCAATGCTGTGGATCTAGAAAATAATTTAAAGCTGCTATTTTTTAAAAAGATCCTAGATGCTTATCTCCACCTCATTGTGGAAAAAGGCAAGGTATAGATATTTTGTTCATAAAATATATATCCATTATTTGCATTTTGTAATGATTAAATCATACACAATTATGTTTTATTTCAGATACCAATATACCGCATGGATGCAGTAATTGGATCATCTTTATTTCATCTAGGGCAGCACAGGGTTTTTCGAAAAGTAAGTATTTGCTATGCTATACTCCTGTCTAAGTAAAAATTAATCAAAACTAACAATGTTTTTTGTCATTTATAAAGATGGCGTTCCCAGAAGCCTCGATTTGGTTGTGCCCTGTAAATGTCGGTGGTCATTGGATTTTAGTGGTATGTTATCTTTGTTCCCAGAACTACATCAATCAATATTCATGTGGATACTTTTAAAAAGTAACAGATGTCATACTTAATGAACAGCTTGTCAGGATGGATCACAAGGAGGTTATTGTGATTGACCCCCTTGGCCATGAGAGGATTTACCAAAGAAGAATTCTCCGTAATTGGAGGTAGTGTGAATCGGGTCACCATAAGTCGGTTCCTAAGTTGCTTTTATTGGGCTAACAATGTCACTAATTCAAGTTTTTATGCTACTACATAGGAATTTCTTGAGAGCCAAAGATGCCAGACAGGGCAACTGGAAGGTCAAAACTCTGCCGCATGGCCTGCAGCCCGATGCCAGCAGTTGCGGGGTCTTGATTTTGAGGGTACCAAGAATACAAATGCAATAATTTTTGTAAATAAGATTTGAAATTTAAGATAAAATTTTTGTGTAGTTTGCAGAAAGCTTCTTGCAGGTGGGAGATCTGCAGTCTGTTAGCACTGCACCTGCTCAAATGTTCCAGGACAGGATGGACATTGCAACAAAACTGCTGCAATGCAAAGGTGAAAAATACATATAGCATACATTTTCTGTCATTTACACATTCTTATTTTTTAATATTGTCTCTTTAACCCTCTGGGATTAAGCTAAGATGTTTGGACATGGTGTATGGCAGACAAGACTTAGTTTGTGCATGCACAAAGGATACATTTTGAGATGTAATAGAATATTGGATTACAGGTATGGTATATGGATGTGTTAAATGAGGACATGGTAAGTGTCACGATTACTACACATTATTCAAAACGAGCAATTTTTTTAGTTAAAATTCAAGCTAGACAGTTGGGTTGAAGCAGAACAGTTTGGCACTTTTAAATCATGAAGCCCTGGTAATGGGGGGAAAACCCTAGCCTACCAGAGGCATGAACAACTTGCCCTTCATGTAGTCAGTGAAAACAGACATGAAGACTCAGCACAGTCATGGGTGACCTGGAAGCAGTGGCAGCAAGAAGGAGCATGTGCCAAGGGGCAAACACAACACCCTTTGCTGATAATTAGACAATTCATTGAAATCAGGTGTGGGTGAGACCATCCTGCTACATTTACCTAGCTATATTTAGTCTGATTGTGTTCAAAGAAATTCTCATTTGTCTATCTTTATATTACAGATAAGGTGGAAGACTACTGTGTTTCATGCAACATGTTGCACTATGACACATGCAAGGACGTCATTGAAATGGTAAAAACACAGCCATAGAATTTTATACTTCCAATGCTTTAAACATGAACTTATAACTAATTTTTTTCCATTCTGCCTCATAGATACAGTGCGACTTCTGTCCAAGATGGACTCACAAAGAGTGTGCCACCAATTTTGTTGACCTTTTCAAATGTAAAAAGTGTGAATTGCAATAAGTGTGTGTGTGTGTGTGTGTGTGTGTGTGTGTGTGTGTGTTTTACTTGGAAATAAAGTTTGTATTCCCTTTCTTATAACTTAAGTTCTTCATGTTCAGTTTTTTATTCAAATGGAGACTGCTCTTTATAACAGGAATCAGTGAATCAACTATTCTGCTTTCTTTTGCCATTGCACCAACTTGGTGAGCTTCATTGGAAAAAAAATGTACTGATGAATGTGTATCGCAAATTTATTTTCACCTAATTCTAAAAAAAATGCATTGAGCATCGAGGATGTCATACTGTTGTCAAAAACAAAAGGTATGACATCTGACTGAACAACCCACCCATCAGGGTGCCATACCGTTGTCAAAAACAGAAAGTATGACGATCTGACAGGTAAAACCACCCATCAGGATGCCATACCGTTGTCAAAAACAGAAAGTATGACGATCTGACAGGTAAAACCACCCATCAGGATGTCATACCGTTGTCAAAAACAGAAAGTATGACGATCCCACGAGTAAAACCACCCATCAGGATGTCATACCGTTGTAAAAAAAAAAAGGTATGACGATCTGACAGGTAAAACCACCCATCAGGATGTCATACCTTTGTCAAAAACAAAGTATGACGATCCGACTGTTAAACCACCCATCAGGATGCCATACCGTTGTCAAAAACAGAAAGTATGACGTTCTGACAGGTAAAACCACCCATCAGGATGTCATACCGTTGTCAAAAACAGAAAGTATGATGATCCCACGAGTAAAACCACCCATCAGGATGTCATACCGTTGTAAAAAAAAAAAGGTATGACGATCTGACAGGTAAAACCACCCATCAGGATGTCATACCTTTGTCAAAAACAAAGTATGACGATCCGACTGTTAAACCACCCATCAGGATGCCATACCGTTGTCAAAAACAGAAAGTATGACGTTCTGACAGGTAAAACCACCCATCAGGATGTCATACCGTTGTCAAAAACAGAAAGTATGATGATCCCACGAGTAAAACCACCCATCAGGATGTCATACCGTTGTAAAAAAAAAAGGTATGACGATCTAACAGGTAAAACAACCCATCAGGGTGCCATACCGTTGTCAAAAACAGAAAGTATGACGATCCGACTGTTAAACCACCCATCAGGATGCCATACCGTTGTCAAAAACAGAAAGTATGACGATCTGACAGGTAAAACCACCCATCAGGATGTCATACCGTTGTAAAAAAAAAAAGGTATGACGATCTGACAGGTAAAACCACCCATCAGGATGTCATACCGTTGTAAAAAAAAAAAGGTATGACGATCTGACAGGTAAAACCACCCATCAGGATGTCATACCTTTGTCAAAAACAGAAAGTATGACGATCCGACTGTTAAACCACCCATCAGGATGCCATACCGTTGTCAAAAACAGAAAGCATGACGTTCTGACAGGTAAAACCACCCATCAGGATGTCATACCGTTGTCAAAAACAGAAAGTATGACGATCTGACAGGTAAAACCACCCATCAGGATGTCATACCGTTGTAAAAAAAAAAAAAGGTATGACGATCTGACAGGTAAAACCACCCATCAGGATGTCATACCGTTGTAAAAAAAAAAAAAGGTATGACGATCTGACAGGTAAAACCACCCATCAGGATGTCATACCGTTGTAAAAAAAAGGTATGACGATCTGACAGGTAAAACCACCCATCAGGATGTCATACCGTTGTAAAAAAAAAAGGTATGACGATCTGACAGGTAAAACCACCCATCAGGATGTCATACTGTTGTAAAAAAAAAAAAAAGGTATGACGATCTGACAGAGTATGCCTGTCTGACTGACAACATCTGTCAGACAGGCATACTGTGTAATCCGGGTATGCCAGTCTGACAAGGTATGGCGACTGGACAGAACACCGCCATTACAGCGCTGAGAACCGCAGGTGAAACTTTGAGCGATGCACTGCTGATAGCAATGGTTTTAAAAGGTCTACCTGACTCATTTACGCCTTTTAGAATCCATGTGACACAAAGTGATGACGACATGACTTTTTCAGAATTTAAAAGTAAACTGAGAAGTTATGAAGAAACTGAAAAACTGCGTGTGGACACTGCCACAGAGGACAATGTGATGGCAGCACGGATGAATCAGAGGGTCAAGCACCTGAAGCCGAAATATGTTCAACCAAGCATGCACGAGCGGAGCGCTGATAGTAAAGACTTTATTTGTTTTAAATGCGGTAAAAAGGGACACAAAGCTAATGTATGTGACCGCAAAAAGTGGTGTAGGCATTGCAAGACCACCACGCACCAGACTGAAGTGTGCAGAAAGAAACACAGAGATGATGAAGCACGGAAAGCTGCTGATGACTACGAGGGAAAGGAATACGCATTCCGACTACAAGACGCTGACGGCGAGATGGACGAAACCAGAACCAGGAATCTGATGGTGGACACAGGAGCAACGTCCCACATTATCACGGATCCAGAGAGGTTCAGGAGGTTCGACGAGGACTTCGAGCCGAGGTCGCATTACATCGAGCTGGCAGACGGAACCCGGAGCAGAGGAGTGGCTGAACGGAGAGGAGAGGCTGTGGTAACCTTGATCGACAGCAGAGGGGTCCAACACAAGGTGGTGCTAAAGAGAGCACTATACATCCCTTCATATCCACAAGACATTTTCTCTGTGAAGGCAGCTACTACCAATGGAGCAACGGTCATCTTCAAGCGAGGTAATAATGTACTGAGACATTCTGATGGAACGAGATTCCCCATCAAGGAGTACAACAGACTATTCTATCTACGAACTGTGAGTAGAAAACAAACAGACCAATGTAATGCTTCTTATGACCTGAAAACATGGCATGAGATAATGGGACACTGCAATTTTGATGACATTAAGAAACTGCAGGGAGTAGTAGATGGGATGGACATCAAGGATAAAACTGTTGGAACAGAAAGAGACTGTGAAGTCTGTATAAAAGGTAAATTTTGTCAGACAATAAATAGAGAGCTGGATGCTAAAGCTAAGACTGTTTTGGAACTCGTGCATACAGATCTGGCAGGACCAATAAGTCTAGAAACAAAAGAGGGATTTAGGTACGCTGTTTCATTCACTGACGACTTTTCCGGTGCAATATTTATGTATTTTCTCAAACACAAAAGTGATACAGTTCAAGCAACAGAGAAATTCCTTGCTGACACCGCACCATATGGTATCATAAAGTGTATACGTTCAGATAATGGAACTGAGTTTACATGTGGAGAGTACCAGAAACTACTCAGGGAGAATAGGATAAAACATGAAACTTCAGCCCCTTACTCCCCACACCAGAACGGCACAGCTGAACGAAGCTGGCGAACGCTTTTTGATATGGCAAGATGTATGCTCTTAGAGAGTAACCTACCAAAGTCCTTATGGGTTTATGCTGTTCAAACGGCGGCCATTACGAGGAACAGATGTTATAATAGACGTTTGAAAGCAACACCATATGAACTGTTAAGCGGTAGAAGACCGAACTTGTCAAGAATGCACAAATTTGGTGTACCCTGTTTTGTGTACAAACAGAACAAAGGGAAACTTGACTCTAGAAGTGAAAAAGGGATTTTTGTGGGTCATGACAAAAATAGTCCAGCATATTTGGTTTATTTCCCAGAAAATGGTAAGATTCTGAAACACAGATTAGTTAAGTTTTTAACAAGAGACCCTGAAGAAGAGACACAAACAGAAATAGTGTCAAATGATGAACTAGAGTTCCTAGTTAGGACAAGAAGAGAGGTTAAAGACAAAACACCCGGGCAGAAAGAGGAAGACCCAGGAGAAGGAACGAGTCATACAAAACCTCTAGAACCAGAGCAAACATCGCGTTATCCCACCAGAGAGAGAAAGAGACCGAGTTACTTGAATGATTATGCAACAAAAGGTTCTGTAAGAGAGGATGATGATCAAGTTTTAACTAACTTGGACTATTGCTACAGACTTTTTACTGATGCACCGTTAACTTATGAAGATGCAATAAAATCACCTGACTCAGAGACATGGAAAGCGGCCATGGAGGAAGAACTAGCCTCACTGAAGGACAATGACACTTTCACTCTGACAACTATGCCAGAAGGCAGAAAGACAGTGGGGGGAAGATGGGTGTTTACCATTAAAAGGAATGTAGATGGAACAGATAAACATAAAGCTAGATATGTGGCTAAAGGGTTCAGTCAGAAAAAGGGAGAAGATTATGAGGAAACCTTCTCACCTACGGCACATTTAAACAGCGTTAGAATCCTAATGCAGAAAGCAGTGCACGAAAATCTGTTGCTACATCAAATGGACGTTAAAACCGCCTACCTTCATGCCCCGATAGATCATGAAATATACCTAGAGCAACCAGAAGGTTATGAAATACTGACTCAAAAGAATGAGAAACTAGTGTGTAAACTAAACAAAGCTATATATGGACTCAAACAGGCAGGTAGAAACTGGAACACTGTTTTACATGAATATTTGTGTGATAATGACTTTGTACAAAACCCTGCTGATCATTGTGTGTATACCAGGCAAAGGAAAGAAGACAAGGTAATAATCCTAGTGTGGGTCGATGATATAATCATTGCAGCTTCCGATGAAAGGGCACTAGAAGACATAAAGTTGGTTTTAACAGCCAGGTTCAAGATGAAAGATCTAGGCAAGTTAAAACATTTTCTTGGTATCGATTTTGAGCAGAACGAGAGGGCTGTTACAATGTCACAAACCAGATACACAGAAAAGATACTTAATATGCAGGATTGTAAACCTAGGACCACACCATGTGAACAGAAGTTGGAACATGATGAAAATGCAGAAAGACTGAGTGATGTTAAACTGTATAGAGAAGCCGTGGGAAGTCTTATTTACCTGTCAACATGTACAAGACCAGATTTAAGCTTTATAGTAAGTAAAGTTTCACAATATTTCTCATGCCCTACAGAACAACACTGGACCACAGTCAAGCATGTATTGAGATACCTCAAAGGCACACAAGAGAAGAAACTATGCTACCAGAAATGTGGAGGTGAAAAGCTAGGACTACGTGCTTACAGTGACGCAGATTGGGCTTCAGATGCAAAAGATCGTAAGAGTATGACAGGTTATTGCATCAGCCTATCAGAGAAGGGACCACCTATATCCTGGAAAACCAAAAAGCAGTCTACAATTGCTTTGTCTACGTGTGAAGCGGAGTACATGTCTCTAGCAGCCACTGTTCAGGAATGTTTATATTTGATGCAACTTCTTGAGCACATGGACAGTTATGAATATGGACAACCAAAGGTGTATGAGGACAACCAGAGTGCAATAGCTTTAGCTAAAAACCCTGTGAACAGACAAAGATGTAAACATGTTGACATAAAATATCATTTCATAAGAGCAACATTGAAAGAAGGACTTATGGATTTAATATATTTGCCAACAGAACATATGCTCGCAGATGTAATGACTAAACCTACAACTGTGTATTAAGCCGGGCGTACACTGTGCGACTTTTTCACTTTTTTGAGCCGATTTTCCAGTCGTGCGAGAAGCCACGACATCGGGGCGAGTTTTGCGCCGAGCGGTCGTGTAGTGTACAGGGGGTTACGAGAGGCGATTAACACCACGTGACCAGCTGCCGATCAGCAGTCGTGAGGTCGCAGGGACTTCTGGTGTGTTTAATATTTCGCTCGTCCCTCGTGAGGGTATCGCACTGTTGAAGCGGCGCTGCGAGCAGCTACGATCCAAAAAGCATCAGAACCGCTCACGGCGCATGCGCGCGCAATCCTGCATCAACGCCGGCCGGTCGCTCGCTATTTCCCTAATAACACACGCTGTTCGTTTTTGTTTCTACACATTTTTTTACTCACAAAGATTGTCAAGAAAGCGTGTTTGTCGTGTTCATGTCAAATTAAACTGATCACAAAACACAGATTCACTTTCTTTATTTCGTTTTCCTCATCCAACCCCCATAAATCCCGTGTGTCCTCCTGCAGCACTCCCGAAGGACAACAGGCAAGACAAAAAAGTCTGACGTGTTGAGTAAAAACTGCTATTTTTAGCACAGTTTTAGGGCTGACGTGTTGCTACCAGACGTACAGTGTGAGCAGTCAGGTCGCATGCGAGAACTGGGTCGTGCAGTGTGAGCACACGACTCGTGAGATCTGCTCTGCGAGGAAGTCGTACAGTTTGAGCTGAAGCTGAACGCTGCGAGTGAAAAAGTCGCACAGTGTACGCCCGGCTTTAGCTGATCAAGTTCAACAAACTGTTATTTGGAATGTAAAGTTAAAACAAGAAGACAAGTGCAAACAATCACAGAGCAAGTGGGGGTGTTAAGCATCAGTCTAATGTGCTCTGTTATGCTCTGTTATGTTATGCATCTGTGTAAATTTGTAAATAAGAATGTGTGTATATACATATATGCTTTTATTCTGAAAAGTACCTGTAGAGGAAGTCAAACTTTGACCCCGTAAAGTGACCAATAAAAGGGAGCATTGGTGTTTAGTGGCTGCAATCAGTGTGTGCTACCACCAGTGAAGGCCCGTGAAACAGACGCTCTGTTTATAGATTTATTTCCTCCTTTTTAACCCTGGAGATTCATTTTGGAGTCTTGGACCAACCGCTGGGTAAACGAAACTCTGCTAACACCAAATCTGTGATATCAGCGCGGGATGCAGACGCCAGTCGGAGTCGCGGGGACCCCCTCTCAACAGGAGGTCTGCCGCTACATTCAGGATCCCCGGAATGTAGGTGGCACAGCAGGTGGACATGTGCCCAACACAGTAAATCTGTGGCTATGCGCAATAGAGGGGGGATCGAACTCCCCCTTGGCGATTTATGCAGGCTGCCGCCACCTGGTTGTCTGTGTGAACTTCGACATGACGGCCATCGAGAAGGGCAGCGAAGTGCATGAACACATTCCTCATTGTCATAAGCTCCAACACATTTATGTGCTCGTGCGTGTGGGAGGGCCAGCGATCTGCCGCGTAACAAGCACGTGCCCTCCACCCCAGACAGTGACGCATCCGTAAACACAGATACGTGTGACGCAGGACGTCCGATGGGAATCCCGTGTGAGGGGATGCAGGGATTCCCCCAGTGAGCGAGGTCCCCGCCCACTGAGGGGGGAACCCTCAACATACGTCTCTTCTGACGTATCGGGTGTACCCGGAGGCAGATGAACCAACTTTGCAAGGCGCCTCGAGTGCAACAACCCCAGCAGCACCACCGAGTGGGCTGCAGCCATCATGCCCAGAAGTCTCATGACTAACAGGGCTCTCACGATCTCGCGGGGTTGCACGCGGGAGATCACCGTGGTGAGATCTGCCACTCTCACCGGCGACGAACGTGCTCTCATTAGAGAGGCGTTCAGCTCCACCCCCCGAGAAACATAATCGACTGGGATGGAAGAACAGAGTTCTTCCCCCAGTTTATAGAAAACCCCAGGGTTGACAGATGCTCTGTTAACCTCCTGGCTTGCACTGACGCCCCGTCCTCGGACCGGGCGCATCGGAGCAGATCATCCCGGTAAAATAAAACCCTCGTTTCCGCCGTGCGCAGTGGCTGCAGCGCGGTCTCCGGACATTTGGAGAAAGTGCGCTGGGCTAGCGAGTAGCCAATAGGGAGGCATTCGTGCGCGCGTTCCGACAGCGGACGTGTGCTCGAGGTCACGTGAGCAACGTCTGAGGATTGGTTTCGCGCCCTTACCGCCGTCGCTCGTACCAGAGAACTGGGAGCAACCCATGGAGGGCTGTGCTCGAAAGAGCAAGTGTGAAACAGCTGGAAGAGGCTGATCCGCACCGCAGAGCGTGGAGTCCATGAAGGACGAGTGGGAGCCGGGCCCGTGCACGGGAACGTCAAAGTGCCAGCGGATGGAGCCGCGCAATGTGCGCGCTTTGCGCGTGGTCGCGACAGCGCCATGACATCCCGTCCCACCCAAAGTTGTGGGGGAAGCGGGATGAGTCGGGCCTGGCCGTAGGCTGGGGGCGGTGCGCAAATGGAGCGCACCCTTACAGCTACCCGTGTAACGTGACCGAGTCCGACTGTGTGAACATGCAGATGTGCTGCAGTGCTTGGTGCGGGGAACATCATGTGTGAGGATTCGGCAGAAGGTTCTGCAGAGGACTGTAGGATTGTGCTCTCGATGTGACGTTTTTTGGGTTTTTATTTCAAAACCAAAATAATTCACAGAGTTAACATTGCAGCCATAAGCACACATATTCACCCCAACGAGTCGTTTTCGTGGTTGTTTTCGGCGAGGTTCCTGTGACTGCCAAGGCTGTGTCTGCTGGCTCGTTCGGAACCGTTGGCCGCCAACTCCCTGGTCCCGCCTCAGCGGGAGGCCGGCTCCGCGGGGCGGGCCGTGCAGCTGGGCACATGGAGTTTCCGCGCCGTTCGTCCCATCCTCTGGGGGAACGGCCGGAGTGCAGGCTGACTGAGAGTGGACCAGGTCTCGCACCGTGGCTGAAAGTTCAGCTGCTGAGCCCTCTAGATGATGCTCGTAAGATGGGGACCAAACAGAACGTCAGAGGTGATGTGGCCTTCCAGCATCTCTCTGTGCAGGTGTTCAGGAATGGAGGGCAGGGCCGTGAGCCACAAGGCCCGCTGGATAAGGGTCTGCCAGGCAGCAATGCGAGCAGAACCGGTGAGTACAGCAGCGCACAGATTGAGGATGGCATCAGCAGTTTTAGTAATGATGGTTTTTGACTCGACAGGAGAGTCAAGCTCCTCCACCATTTTGGAAATGCCAAAGGCGAGAAGGCGATGTTATTTCCTGCAGCGCCGGTCTGGAAGGCGCACTGGTGTGCGCGATCGGCGAGCCGCCTCAGCAGCTGGTCATGCTTAGTGGGAACTGCTCGCGGTCCAGTGAGGTGGTTCTTGACGCCACACAGCGAGGCCAAGTCCGGCTCCAGTGGAGGAACGGATGGCCAGCCCTGGTCGGAGAAGCCCTCGACCTTGGTAATGGGCGCATATGTGGAAATTGGCGCCTCGAGCCTGGCAGGCTCGGAGAAGGCGGCGGACCAGCAGCTCATGGCAGCGGGGAAGTGCGGCCAGACGGGGTCTGGACAGCGCGTCTGTGTTGCCCCAAAAATTCCCGCCAATTCATCCGCCTCAGGGGAGCCGGTTCTGGAACGGCTAGCCACCTGCGGGTCGCAGCCGCGGAGATGATGGCGGGCAGCTCCTGGAGCAGTGCTCTAACTGCTGGCAGGGAGGAGCGAGAAACCACTGGGGCAGAAGGACCCGCTGAGCGAGGCTCGTCGACCTCCGTGTTGTACAGGAGGGAAAAAGGGCTATGGCAGCCAGCCTCGTCGTGCTCCTCACGAGGCTCGTCGACCTCCGTGCTGTACAGGAGGGAATAATGGCTGCAGCAGCCAGCCTCGTCGTGCTCACGAGGCTCGTCGACCTCCGTGTTGTACTGGAGGGAAAAAGGGCTATGGCAGCCAGCCTCGTAGTCGACCTCCGTGTTGTACAGGAGGGAAGGGCTATGGAAGCCAGCTTCGTCGTACTCCTCTCTGTCGATGACATCGTCCAGTCGGTAGGAGCCAGCCGGCTCCTGGCCGACGTTGAAGAACCGTAACGCCTTGTCCAGCGAGTACGTGCCAGCCACCGGGATTTCCTCGTCGGTGGAGGGGGTGAAGTACTCGACCCGGCGGACCTTTTCAGCCACGGGCAGAGCGGTACAAAACGGGCACGAGGCCTGGGGGTCAAGGCCAGGCCAGCGTGGTGAGCCCCAAGACAGACCTCACACTTGGCGTGCAGGTCGCCACTGGAGATGGAGCCCGTCTGGCAGGCCGGGCAGGTCCTGGCGTCGCTGGACATGGTCGGTGAGTAGATTTTTCTTGTATAAGTGCTCTTAAAAGAAGCTCTTAAGCTTGGCGTGAAGAGAAAACGGAGGCGAGCAGTGGAGTCGCTCCACTTATATAACCCACAAGGGGTGCCCACGTGGTGGGCGTACATTTAAGCTCTTCATGATTGGCTGATGCTGAGATCACCCTTCCAATAGCAGCTCGCTTAAGGGCTAAGAGTAGACGAAATAGAACAGTTATTACCCCGGGTTTCCACGGGAGCCGTCAGCAGCACGTTACTGCAGCAGCACGTCTAGCTGCTGCTTGGCCCTTCCCACGAGACGCGAAGCAGCAGGGGAGCAGCTGTCACCGACAGAGCACGAAGTCACACGAGTGACTTCGTCAGTAAACACAACAACAAGCAGGAGAAATTTACAATATGGTTTGTGTTTTATGTTCTGTCCGTTTTATAATCGCCAATACGGACCTGAAAAACAAAGGAGACTGCTAGCTAGGTGAT